CTGAATTATTTCATATCTTTCAAAATTTTTTCAATGAAATTCAAACTCAGTTCGGTGTTTCTATTAGAGTTTTGCGCAGTGATAATGGTCGTGAATATCTTTCTCATTCTTTTAAACAATTCATGGCTTCTCATGGTATTTTGCATCAAACTTCTTGTGCTTATACACCTCAACAAAATGGTGTAGCTGAATGTAAAAATAGACATCTTATTGAAACAACTCGCACTCTTTTAATTCATGGAGAGGTTCCTCAGCATTTTTGGGGTGATGCTCTTCTTACTGCGTGTTATCTTGTTAATCGCATGCCATCTTCGGTTCTAGATAATAAAATACCTCATTCCACTTTATTCCCTCATGAACCACTTCATCCCTTACCTCTAAAAGTTTTCGGGTCTACATGTTTTGTTCATAATTTTAGTTCTAGTCTTGACAAGCTTTCTCGTAGATCACATAAATGCGTTTTCTTAGGGTTTACAAGATCACAAAAAGGATACAAATGTTTTTCTCCTTCTCTTAACCCTTATTTTGTGTCTGCAGATGTCACCTTTGATGAGTTCTCTTTTTATTTTAAAAGTCAATCTTCACCTCTGTCTCCATCTAATCTTGTCAACACTCCTAGTACATTTAATGTTACTGTTGTTTGTGACCCTCTAACTGTGTCTTCTTCACCATTAGATTCTACTCCGCAGTCAGCTTCTTCTTCACTCCCTCTTCAGGTTTATAGTTGTCGAAACCAATCACAACCACCACCATGTGACTCTACTCAAGTGTCAACTACTCTGTCTCCTCCGGATGTGACACCTGAGTCTGACCTTCCCATTGCCCTCCGAAAAGGTATTTGTTCTACACGCAATCCCTCTCCTCATTATACTGGTTTGAGTTATCATCGATTGTCATTACCTTTTTATACATGTATTTCCTCTCTTTCTTCTGTGACCATTCCAAAAACTCTCCGTGAAGCTTTAGCCCATCTTGGTTGGCGTCAGGCCATGTTAGATGAACTAAGTGCTCTTCATAATAGTGGAACTTGGGAATTGGTCTCGTTACCGTCTGGGAAATCTGTTGTTGGTTGCAGGTGGGTGTTTGCTATCAAAGTTGGACCTGATGGTACTATTGATCGCCTCAAAGCTCGTCTTGTGGCCAAAGGTTATACTCAAATTTTTGGGTTGGATTATGGAGATACCTTTTCCCCTGTGGCAAAGATGACTTCTGTTCGTTTATTTATCGCCATGGCCGCTCTTCAACAATGGCCTCTTTATCAACTAGATGTTAAAAATGCTTTCCTCAATGGTGATTTGCAAGAAGAAATCTATATGGAGCAACCTCCTGGGTTTGTTGCTCAGGGGGAGTCTTCTGGGATGGTATGTCGTCTTCGCAAATCCCTATATGGCCTAAAACAGTCTCCTAGGGCCTGGTTTGGAAAGTTTAGCAAGGTTGTTCAACATTTTGGTATGACTCGGTGTGAAGCAGATCACTCTGTCTTTTATCGACACTCAAGTGCTGGATGTGTTTACTTGATAGTATATGTTGATGACATCGTTCTTACAGGTAGTGACAACCATGGCATCTTTCAGTTGAAACAACATCTATGTCACCATTTTCGCACCAAAGATCTTGGCAAACTTAGATATTTCTTGGGTATTGAGGTGGCACAGTCCAATGATGGTATTGTTATATCTCGGAGGAAGTATGCCATGGATATTTTAGAGGAAACTGGGTTGATGAATTCAAAGTCTCGTTGATACGCCCATGGATCCCAATACTAAACTTTTACCAAATCAGGGGAGCTTATACCTGATCCTGAGCAGTATAGAAGATTGGTTGGAAAATTGAATTATCTTACAGTTACTCGTCCTGACATTTCCTTTGCAGTCAGTGTGGTAAGCCAATTTCTTAATTCCCCATGTGAAGATCATTGGAATGCAGTCATTCGTATCTTAAAGTATATTAAAGGATCTCCTGGAAAAGGATTGTTATATGATTCTAATAACCATACAAGAGTTGTTTGTTACTCAGATGCTGATTGGGCAGGATCTCCTTCGGATAGAAGATCTACATCTGGATATTGTGTCTCCATTGGTGGTAACTTGGTCTCATGGAAAAGTAAGAAACAAAGTGTTGTGGCAAGATCTAGTGCAGAAGCAGAATATAGAGCTATGGCCTCAGCTGCTTGTGAACTTGTTTGGCTCAAGCAATTGCTTAGAGAGTTACAATTTGGAGATGTCACTCAAATGTCACTTGTGTGTGACAATCAGGCTACTCTTCATATTAGTTCTAATCCTGTCTTTCATGAAAGGACAAAACACATTGAGATTGACTGTCATTTCATTCGAGAAAAGATTATGTCTGGAGACATCAAGACTGAGTTTGTTAACTCAAGTGATCAGTTAGCAGATATTTTTACTAAATCTTTACGGGGTCCTAGAATTGATTATATTTTTAACAAGCTTGGCACATACGATTTGTATGCTCCAGCTTGAGGGGGAGTGTTAGATATTGTTTAGATATTATTTAATATTGTTAAGATATTGTTAGATATTAACCATAATATCAAACAATAATATCTAACAATATCTTCTATTTATTCTTTTACTTTCAGTTACTCTTTTAGTTGTATCTCTCTACTATAAATAGACTACCCTATGTGTGATTTATATACAAGGGAGATTAATCCCAAACTCTATTTCTTCTATATTCAACAATTATCAATGAATCAGGGAGATATTTTGATGATATTAATCTGTGTGAAACAGGGGGAGATTTTTTTCTCTTATAATATTTTTCATAATTATCAATGAAACAAGGAGATATTTTCATGATATTAATCTGTGTGAAATAAGGGGAGATTTTTTTTTATAATATTTTTCATAATTATCAATGAAACAGGGAAATATTTTGATGATATTAATTTGTGTGAAACAGGGGGAGATTTTTTTCTCTTATAATATTTTTTTTATGATTATCAATGAAACAGGGGGAGATTTTTTGATGAATTAAAATCTGTGTGAAATTCTTTCATATCTCTAAATTAAACAAGGGGAATTAAGAGAAGTCTTTGCTCATATGAGTTAGGGGGAGTCTTGTTATTAATATATCTAGGGGGAGATTAAGAGACTCTGACACTTGATACTATATTGTGCTAATCTTGAGCTAGCTATATAGAGTCAAGCATTTTAATTCATTTCAGGTGTTTCCTTGATCATCATCAAAAAGGGGGAGATTGAAAGCAATGAGGGGGAGATTGATGGAAATGTCCCTACATTCCCAAGAGATGATTTTGATGATGATTCAAGTCAACTACATTCAAGTCAACACCATTCAAGATGAATTAAGGACAAGCTGAATTTAAGACGTTGGTGAAAATGTGAAACATTTTCCTACATGCCCAAGATATGTTTTTGATAAATATGATGATTCAAGCAAGCCCAAGATGATTCCTAAAGACTAGATAGAGCCTTAGAATACTGGATATTGAGGTACAAGTTGATGAGGTAATATTATGCACAAGCCTCCAAAGCACAAGTGTGATAAAATTCATAACATGATATTTTTCACTTTCATAATCAATTATGATGCATCAGAAATGGAAAAATGATTTTATCTGTCATAATTGATTATACTAGTAACATAATCAATTATGACAATTCAAATTTGAAAAATATATCTGTTTTGAAGAATAAATATTTTTAAATATATCCTGATTTTTATTCATGAAAATATTAATGTCCAACGACCATTTTCTGATACTATTTTTCTATTTAATTAAGTTTTGATGAAAAATAAAAAACACACAATTACAGAATTCGAAAATACAATTTACATTCAATCAGTTTTGAGAAAAAAATTCTGAGCAAGGCAACAGAGATATTTTACACCTTTTGAGAAAACCCTCTTCTCTACTGCCTTCTGTGCTTTCATTGTTAATCACACTTGTTCTTGGAAATTGGCATTCTACAAGCTTCTACAATTTGTTGTCTCCATTACCCAGGTGTGACTGTTATTATTTTGATTACCTTCATCCTTTATGTATTGGTGGCAAAGGAGGTACTTTCCATCCCTAGTGTGATTCTAGGGAGGTGTTCATCCTTAGTGATATTCTAAGGAGGTGTTTTCATCCTTTGATTTGTTCAAAGGAGGTTTTCATCCCTAGTGTGATTCTAGGGAGGTGTTCATCCTTAGTGGGATTCTAAGGAGGTGTTTTTCATCCTTTGATTTGTTCAGAGGAGATGTTCATCCCTAGTGGGATTCTAGGGAGGTGTTCATCCTTAGTGGGTTTCTAAGGAGGTGATTGTCTTTTTAATTAGTTTACTTTTTACTGGTTCTTCTGCTGAGTTGATTGTAATTTGTAAACTGAATTTGAAAGATAGTGAATTAGGAGTCACTCTTGTGTTAAGAGTTGATTGGGAACTGGATGTAGAGTTGACTATACCCGAACCAGTATAAATTGTGTGCTCTTCTCTTTCCCTTATCTATTTCTCTTTTCCTGATTATATTATCGCTTCCGCTTTATCTGTGTTCAAACAAATTATTGTCTCACAAATAAATTTTTAATTTAACATCTATTTTAATTTGTGCATCTATTCACCTCCCCTCTAGATGTCATTTGTCTAACAACCACTTCTTTAGAAAACGCGATTCATCAAAACCATCACGTTGCTCCGACCACCTTTTGACGACGGTGACATTATTAATAACAAAATTTCTTATGAATTAGTTTACAAAAAGCTCCCTGATTTACAAGATCTTAAAATCTTTGGATGTTTATGCTATGTTTCCACCCTCGAGAGAGGAAGGACAAAGTTTGATCTTAATCAAATAAATCCATTTTCTTAGGCTACAAGCAGGACACTAAAGGATATATTACTCTTTACATTAAAACTAGAGAAATATTTGGTTCAAAAAATGTTATATTCTATGAAAGTGTTTTTCCCTTTTAAAATAAAACTAATGATATTAACATTAAAAATATAAAGGAAAATTATTTCAATTTCAATTTTGAGCTACCCATGAGACAAAAGGTTCAAGGTACTCTCATTGATAATAAAAAGAAACAACACATGGATGATGATAAACATATAAGAAAATCTACACGAAGTAGAAATGTTCCTTCCTTCTTAAAGGATTATAATCATAATGGGGCTAGTGTTATACACAACAATGACAAAGAGGTAAGATTTCTTTTATCATTTGTTTTAAGCTATAATAGATTATCTCAAAAATATCAGTAGACTTAGATTTACTTTGATGGAAAGGTAATTTGTGCAATTTAGCAAGATGGAAAAGATCACAAATATTATTTTTATCAAAATGTATATAAGAAAACTTATCAGGAACGTGGTTCAAAATATTATCAGAAGAATGTCCAAATCTATAATGCCAAAGATCAATGTTCTTGTCGATAGTTGATTGTTGATGGTTGATGTATGTCATTTTACTCTTTATTTTTTTATCTAAGAACATTTTTTAAGCTAATTATTTTCTTTATAAACCATGCATTTAACATGTTTTCATTAAAAGCATAACATAATTCAATTTTTCTTAATTTATTGTATTTTACATAGTTTTAACATAAAAAAATAATATACATGCATACATCCACAATGCATATTTCTTTTCTTCTTTTGTAGGAGAAAAATAATTTGAGATGAGCTAAATTGATGGAAATAAATGTCCAAATTGATGTAGTCGAATGAATCAAGAATTAAATGCAAATTAGTATTTGATAACTCAAAATGGGAAAGAAGCATATTATTTTCTCCAAATCAATCCCATAAATTTCTCTTCACAGCAATCCAATTTTGCAATCTTTTCTTTGGAAGATAATTGATTTTATTGTAATTAATGTTAGGCTTAATTTTCTTGTTCAATCCCCCTATAAATAGAGATCTTATGACAATATTATTATAATCTCCTGCTCCAGGATTAGAATTGTTGTTTTGTCTCGTCCCCATTTTCTTTTCCTACTCTCAATTTTTAGTTTAGTTTTTTGTTAGATGAGTTCATCTACTGCTACTACACTGTCGATTTTTTTTTTCTCTTTTATTTTTGTAATTTCTATTGAATTTTTTAATTTATATTATTTTATTTACTTTATTCATTTAGTTCTCATTTTAATTTTTGTTATTTAATTGTTTAGAATTTTTATTTTATTCCGAGTACTACTTAATTTTCATTTTCAATTCATCTCATTTTTTAATTCCAATTATCAATTAGAGTCATCACTTCTAAAAATTTTAAATTAAATTACTGCATTGTTTTATTTTAAAACAATTTTTTATTCTTGCACTTTTAATTAAAAACATTTTATTTTAATTTTATCAATTTGAGTTATTTAAATTCTGTATTAATTTAATTTTAATTATCTGCGCTATTTTACTTTAAAACAATTATTGATTTTACACTTTTAATTAAAAAGACTTTATTTTAATTTTATAAATTTCAGTTAATTAAATTATGCTTCAATTTAATTTTAATTGTCGTTAATATTTTATACCAATTTAATTTTAATTTTTATTATTTCGCATCAATTTATTTCTTTTTCACTCTTTCATTCATCCTCTATTTACTTGTTTTTATAGAGAAGAATGATATGTGGTAATGAGTACGTTCTTGTAATTGTATCCTTGTGATATTCGATATAGGTTAACTATATTGTATTAGTTTAACAACTTGTTTATTATTTTTTATCAGTATTTTGTGCAACCGAAATGTTGTCGTCAATGGTTCTGATCTTCCACATGGTTGAATTGATAGCAGGTTTGTGTGCAGCTTGTTTTAAGTAATAAAAACCATTACAGAGCTCAACATGTCCAATCACTCTCTGAGATTGTGAATCCTGAATCTGACACATCTTGGAATAGAAAATCAATTTACAATTCAAAAGCTTAATCATTCTTTAAACATATATGATGTTGAAAAAAATTTAAGAATATGTAAAACATTTCATATGTAGAGAGAATCATAAAATTTTATGGTTCGAGAAAATTGTACTATGATAAAAGATTCATTTGACAATTTAACACAAATGAATTTTATTTCTTGAAAACTAACAAATTGAGATAAAATGCAAGGTATTGAACCTGTGTCGAGAATCCATAAATTCTTTCTTTGATTACCTTTTTTTAGTAATGTCAATAAGACAAATATAAAATTTGTCAATATATATTATTTGTGACAAATTTTTAATTTATCACAAATATTATTATATTAGTAACTAAATTAAAAATTGTCACTATATATTTGTCACACATATTATTCACATATTAATTATCAACTTAAAATTATTATTGTAATTTATAAATATATATATATATATATATATATATATTATAATTATTATTTTAAAACGATGATTAAATTAAAAATTATTATCATAATTTCATTAAAAATATAAAATGTATGTCATAAATAATTAATAATAAAATCAATTATTTAAATAAATAAATTAAAAATGTTGATGTTATTATTTGAAACCTTGACAATTATAAAACGTAAAACTAATTACCATGATTTTGAGTTTAAAGTAGTTTTATATCTTTAATAAATCATATTAATTGTAATTCTTAAATTCAAAATTTTATTTCAATAAATAAGAAAAAATCTTTTACCTTATTTTTTTATTTAATTAAGTTTACAATTTTAATATTAAAATTGAAAAAATTATTTAAATAATATAAAAATAACAACATTTTGGATTAAACTTTTAACCATTTTTTTAGGGACAAAATTAATTTTTAATTATGTTATTCATTATTAATATTAAGTTAACTTATTTTTATTTTTAAAGAATAAATAAGATGAAATTTAACCATATTTTAAAGTAATTGGAATTATTTGAATTTTATATTTAATAAAAACATATTATTTAATTTGATCCAATTATTTTTAATTTTTATTGAATTATGTTTTTTTTAAATAATTGGTTAAGAGTTGCTATTAAAGGTTTTTTATTATTTTTTCAAAGAATAATTAAGTAAAAATTAATGATGACTTTTTATATAATAATTTTTATATTAAGTAAACTTAATTACAATAAGAATAAAGAATTTTTCTAATAATCTATAAAGTAGATATATTCAATTGAAATATATTTTTATTGACATATCGTATATCTCTTTATTATTTTTTTCATAATTTTTTAATTCATTTTTTAAAGTATTGTCAATATTCACTCTTACTAATTAAATTAATTTATTTTTATATTTAAACATTTTATATTAAATATTTTTATATTATTTTTTAAATAAATAACAATAATTATTCACTTTTAAGATAATGTAAGTTATAACAATAATTTGTTATTTTCTCCCAAAATTTCATATAAATAATATTTTAAATACAAAATATATTTGATTATATATGTTTGTAACTAATATATTTAATATATATTTTTTCAACGTTTGTTTAACATATAAAAAAACGTGATAAGATGATATATATATATATATATATATATATATATATATATATAATAAAATATAAAGAAATAATAAAAATGATATAAAATTACAATATACTTTATATTTAAATTTATTAAACATTTATTATTTTTTTCGTTTTATTGTAATTATAAAAAAATATTCACTTATTTTCTATTACTTTATTACTAAAAAAATATTTTAATACTAATTTATATACCCCATGTTTGATATTATAAAAATAAAGTTTTATTTAATATTACTATTATTATATAATTTTATTAAGGAATTATAAAAGAATTATTTAATTTTATATTAAGAAAATATTTTGTTAATAATATTATAAAATATTCATTAATAATAATATATCATTTATCATTAGACTTTTAATTTATTTATATCAATAATAATTTATCATAAATTCATATATATATATATATATATATATATATATAATTCAATAAAAATATTACATTAATATTTAATAATAATGAAAAATATATAACTCAAATCATTAAAATTTTTTTATTAATATCTTCTAATTTTTCAACTAAAAAAATATATTTTCAAAATAATATCAAATCATAATAAAATATCATCATTGTCATCTTCAACTATAAAAATATTGCATTAATATATAATAATAATGAAAAAAAATATATAACTAAAATCATTAAATTTTTTTATCTAATATCTTTTTATTTTTCAACTAAAAAAATATATTTTTTCAAAATAATATCAAATCATAATCAACTATCATCGTTGTCATCTTCAACAACATCATCGCTTTCTTAATTGTCTATTAAATCAATACTTTCAATATCTGTTTCTTCTTCTTCATCAATAACTTCCATATAAACCAATCGATTTTCGTTAGCCGTTGATTGAGATAAGTCATTTCTATCTAAAGATAACACATGTTTATTGTCTGATACATCATTAAATGTAAAAGAGATACAACCAATATCATCATTTTTCTGACATACCTCATGTATAGCTTCCTCAGGCATATCGTATAAGTCTCGAGGCTTTGTTTTTACTACAACAAGCCAATTAGGATCATGGGTGTCTTTTACATAGTACACTTGTTGAGCTTGACTAGCTAGAACATATGATTCATTAGTCCTCAATTTATGATTACTATTAATGAGAATAAATCCATACTTATCTTCCTTGTATCCTCTCCCTTTGGAACATACATCCCACCAATCACATCTAAATAAAACAACATTGTTTCAACCTGAGTAACTTAATTCAATAATATATGTCAAGACACCAAAGTAATTAAGCTTACCTGCATTCTCATCACCTGCAACTAAAACTCCACTATTTTGTGATTTCAAGTGCATATCACGATTCTTTATATTAAACCTCCAATCATTTATCAAATAACTTGTGTATCGAAAAACACGTGTATTAGGTCCATAAGTCAAGCAAAATAATGATTCATTTATACTTTTATCCTCTTCTTTCTTTAAAATTGTAACTTGTTCAATATAAAATGTAATTTTCATATTTTGCAATTTATATAATGGCGAGAACAAAAAAAAAAAAAAAGAAACATAGGTACATATTTTTTGAACCATTGAAAGAATTGTTTTTGATGTCTTTATTCCACATTTTGTGAATTTGCTTTTTTCAATTCCTTTTTGTGTAACCTGATCATAAAATGCAAGAATACAATAAATTATAGTTTTACAATAATAATATAAATATGTAATTTAAGAAAATCACTTACTGAATAAAAGGTGAGACTTCATCACAATTTTGGATAATATAAATTCTTGTTTGCTCTTGTTCTAATATAGTTAGCTCAACATATTTTTTTCCATGTAATGGTTTTTCAACTTATAAAAAATTTTCAACTTTGATTTTTTTAACTGATCTAGATCACCTTCATAATTTTTGTCGTATCTATTCAATCTTGTTTAAACTCCATACAAATACCTTGAACAAAAGTGAACACACTCTTGTGCAATATAAGCTTCAACAATACACCCTTCTGGACGAGCCTTATTCCTCACATATGATTTAAGCCTACGAAGGTATCTTTCAATAGGATACATCCAATGATATTGTACTGGGCCAACAATCTTTGCCTCATCTACTAATTGAATGGGTAGATGGATCATTATGTCAAAAAAGAAGGAGGGAATATTTTTTCCAACTTACACAAAGTCAAAACTATAGTTTTTTCTAGAAATCTTAGGCTCTCTAAACTCAATGTCTTGGAGCGTAACTCTAAAAAAAAACTTAGTTCAATTAAAGCCTCACAAACTTCCTCACTACAGAAAAAAGACTTTATTATCTATGGCAAAAATCCATAGGTAATGGTAAAAATCCGTAGGTAATGTCATTTTACCTACAGATTTCACACGGGAAAAAATCCGTAGATAATATGGTCGTAGGTAATTTACCTACTGAATTACTATCTGTAGGTAATGTCTTTCGTGGGTAATTACCTACAGATTGTGTTCATAGGTAATGTCTTCCGTGGGTAATTACTTACAGATTGTGTCTGTAGGTAATTACCCACGGATTACAATCCGTAAGTAATGCACACGTTCAAATTTACCTACAAACTAGAATCCGTAGGTAAATCATTAGGTAAATTTAAAAAATTTCACCTCACCACCCACTGATTTAACTAAATTTTACCTGTTACATGCATATTATACACAAAGTATTTAGATATCAAATTTAACAACAATATTCCATAATATTGATATGCACCAAGTGCATATTCAGATATCAAACACAAATCGATCCTTAGCATGCATCAAATAGTCATTCAAATATCTAAGAACATATAAATCCAAAGAAGCATTGGAATAAATATTATGACAATATTGTTTGAGTGTCTTAATAATTTGAGTAATGTCCTTGTTCATTTTGAGGCTGCTTTGCGGAAGCTGATTGTTGTTGATGTTATGACTATTGTTGTTGTTGTTGCTCTTGTTGCTCCTGTGATTGTTGTTGCTCTTGTTGTTGTTGTGATCCTTGTTGGGAAGGTTGTTGTTGTTGAAATGCTTGTCGGGTATCAAGTGGAAGAAGAGGAAGGACAACACTGACAAGTGTTTGTAATTAGTGGCTCAATCTTTCATTATCCTCCCCATAAGTAAGCACTTGTTCCTTTAATTGTGTATTCTCACGAGAAGCAGTAGATCCTAAATATGATAGGGTATCTCCAGGCCTAAAATTATGGGCAAGTTCTCCAACACTGTAGATCCGACCTTTTTAGTTGCCACCTGTAGCAAGAACCCAACTTTCAGTCCTTATTCTCTCCTCCTCTATAGGATCTAATATACCTCAAAACATAATCCAAACAATGTACAAAAACGAAAGCCATGTACACTAATGAAAGCCTTAGAATAAGTACTATGAGACCAAGAAAAATCATTTGTTCATCAAAACCAGGCTTTGAATGAAAATTCAGCAGCATAACGACATAACTTTAATACCCACGGTCTTGATAGTCAAGTACAAGTTATATTTTCACAGCACAATTGTAAGAATTAGCAGGAACAACGAACATCACAACTAGGATATACTATAGACTAAACTTTGGATGAAACTCAATATCCCTATTTGAAATTACACAACACGTTCAAACATGCATCATACTAATAGTCTCACGGTAATCAACCACACAATTCAAATAACCCAATAATAACATAACTCAATCCACTCAAAGATTACAAATAATACGACCTAGTTTAGAAATAGCACAATCCAGTTTAGACAGCCCAACTAACACCGTTATCCAGTATAATCATCAAAGTTGGGATGCAACATAATGAAAACTTGAGACAAATCAAAACATAGTAAGAGACTAGATCGTCTGCACATCAACATTAGGCTTTGAACGAAAATTTGGCAGCATAACAACATAATGCGTACATTACCACGAGACCCACGGTCCTAACAACAAGGTACACGACAAAACACCATCTCAGTACAAACAGTAGCCAGCACAACCAAGAAACTCAACAAACCCCATTTAAACCAAACTCAAAAACAGTAGCCAGCACAATCCAAATTTGGACATGTGTAGGGCAGATTCTGTTAGACAAATGGCATCTAGAGGGGGGTGAATATATGCACAAATTAAAATAGATGTCAAATTAAAAATTTATTTGAGTCAATAATTTGTTAAAGCGGAAGCAATAATATAATCAGGAAAGGAGAAAGAGATAAGGGAAAGAGAAGAGCACCCAGAGATTTATACGGGTTTGAGTATAGCCAACCCTACATCCAGTTCCCAGTCAACTCTTAACACAAGAGTGACTCCCCATTCACTATCTTTCAAATTCAGTTTACAAATTACAATCAACTCCGCAGAAGAACCAGTAAAAAGTAAACTAATTAAAAAGACAATCACTTCCTTAGAAACCCACTAAGGATGAACACCTCCCTAGAATCCCACTAGGGATGAACACCTCCTCTGAACAAATCAAAGGATGAAAACACCTCCTTGGAATCCCACTAAGGATGAACACCTCCCTAGAATCACACTAGGGATGAAAAACACCTCCTTTTCCACCAATGCAAAAAGGATGAAGGTAATAAAAATAAGAACAGACACACCTGGGTAATGGAGACAACAAATTGTAGAAGCCTGTAGAATGTCAATCTCCAAGAACAAGTGTGATTAACAATGAAAGCACAGAAGGCAGTCGAGAAGAGGGTTTTCTCAAAAGGTGTAAAAAATCTTTGTTGCCTTGTTCAGAATTATTTTCTCAAAACTGATTGAATGTAAATTGTATTTTCGAATTTTGTAATTGTGTATTTTTTATTTTTCATCAAAACTTAATTAAATAGAAAAATAGCATCATAAAATGGTCGTTGGACATTAATAATATCATAGAGAAAAACGGATAAATTTTTAAAATTTGAATTGCCATAATTGATTATATTACCAGTATAATTAATTATGATAGAGAAAATCATTTTTCCATTTCTGGTGCATCATAATTAATTATGACAGTGAAAAATATCATGTTATGAATTTTATCACACTTGTGCTTTGGAGGCTTATGCATAATATTACTTCATCAACTTGTACCTCCATATCCAGTATTCTAAGACTCTATCTAGTGTTCAAGAATCATATTGGGCTTGCTTGAATCATCATCTTTATCACCTACGTCATAAATTTAGCTTGTCCTTAAATTCATCTTGAATGGTGTTGACTTGAATGTAGTTGACTTGAATCATCATCAAAATCATCTCTTGGGAATGCAGGAACATTTCCATCAATCTCCCCCTCATTGCTTTCAATCTCCCCCTTTTTGATGATGATCAAGGAAACACCTGAAATGAATTAAAATGCTTGACTCTATATAGCCAGCTCAAGATTAGCACAGATTTGTGTCAAGTGTTAGAGTCTCTTAATCTCCGCCTGGATATATTAATAACAAGACTCCCCCTAACTCATATGAGCAAATACTTCTCTTAACTCCCCTTGTTTAATTTAGATAGGAAAGAATTTCACACAGATTTTAATTCATCAAAAAATCTTCCCCTGTTTCACACAGATTAATATCATCAAAATATCTCCCTGTTTCATTGATAATTATGAAAAATATTATAAGAGAAAAAAATCTCCCCCTGTTTCACACAGATTAATATAATCAAAATATCTTCCTGTTTCATTGATAATTATGAAAAATATTATAAGAAAAAAAATCTCCCCCTGTTTCACACGGATTAATATCATCAAAATATCTTCCTGTTTCATTGATAATTATGAAAAATATTGCAATAGAAACTGAGAACAAATTTGTACCTATTAGTATATAAATCAAGGTAGAGAAGATAATGCATTAAAAAGTGTCATAGAGAAGAATATCATATTAAGGAAACAATATCTAGGATACCCAAGACAAATGAATGGAGAGAAAGATAGGGGAATAAAATGATTATAGAGATAATGGAATTAAATGCAGTAGTTTCCCTCCATTGCAGTCTTCTTATTTAGGCAACTTTCAAATTCAAATGCACTCATATTCCAGATTTCAAATTTCAAATTCAAATTGCAACAAATTTCAAAATTTAAATTCAAATTCCAACCAATTCCAAATTTCAAATTCAAATTTCTAATCCCAAATTTCAAATTCAAATTTCAAATTCCAATTCAAATTCAATTTCAAAAATCTCAAACTACAAAAATTTCAAATTTCAAAATCTCAAACTACAAAATTTCAAATTTCAAAAATCTCAAATTGCAAAATTTTAAATTTCAAAAATCTCATATTGCAAAAAAAATCTCAAACTGAAAAATTTCAAATTTCAAAAATCTCAAATTGCAAAATTTCAAATTTCAAAAATCTCATACTGCAAATTAAAA